CGGGGCGCTGCGTGGGGGGTGGAGCCAGCGGCCATAAAGGGGCCAGGGAAGCGGGATCCGGGCTCGGAGAGCTGCTCCTGGATGAGCAGGGATCCCGGGAGAGCAGAGATCCCGGCCTCCTGGCAAAGGGAGGGCACGGCCGGGACCAGCCAGCTCTGCTCGGCAAGTTTTCCCTTGTGGGGTAAAGCAGGAGCTGCGCTGGGCTGATGGTGGCAGCAGAAAAGGCAAAAAAACGCCTCAAAAAAAGGTTTTGGGGAGGTTTGGGGTTGGCCTGCGAGGTCCTGTGTGAGAACAGTGAATGCTGGCCTGGATGGGAAGGAGCCAGCCCTGCTGCTTAAAGGGGACTTCTTGTTAGGGACCAAAAATCCCCACGGAGTCCCAGAAACTCTGAACGAGCAGATTTTGCTTTATCTTGGCAGGTTTCTGGGCTTCACCTGCTGCCATTTCAAGTCACTTGGTGAGGAGGTGGGTGAAGCAAACACCCCCAGACAGGTGCACAGCCTCCTTTCTCTGTGTTAAAATTCGAAGTGTGGTTTAGTTTTACTAATTTGGCATCAGAGGTGGGTGTATTTGGGGGATTTTAATTGCTACAGTTACACCTTGTCCCCTATGTGTTTGGGAGTATTGGTTTACTGAGGTTCAAAGAGACAGAATCTGGTTTCTTATTAAAAACCACCAGCAAGAGCCACAGCAGATGGTGACAGGACTGGGCAGAGCTGGACCTGGTGCTCTGCCTACTCAGGCACAAGACAGAGTAGTGAAAAAACAGGAGTCTCTTCCAGATAATGCTGGTCTGCACTCCCAAGTTGTACCAAAACCTGTAAATCTGACACCCAATTCTGAGCACAGACAGGGAAACCTCTGCTGGGGCAGAGCTGGAGCTCAGCAGGACAAAGGTCCAGACAAACAGCAAGGACAGAGCAAAGGATAACAAGGATCAGGACCTGGCACTGCTCTTTGAGCTCAGGAAGGAGATAGTTTCTGATGTTGTGCCAAAAACAACCAAAAAAAGAAGAGAAAAGGTGGCCTGTGCCCCAGTGAGCAGCAGCACTGGGCAGAACTGTGTTCCATAGATGCTTTTCCATGGCAGTCAGTCAGGTGCTGTGAATTATTTGGGAGAAGAGAAGCTGGGAAGCTACAGCTGGGCCAGCACAAATGGCTTCAGTCACCTCAGTTTGGAGCTTTCTAGAACCAGATCAAGGAGGTTTGCTCAGTTATCAGGAGTAATGATCACCCAAGGCCACCTTTGAAACATTCATCTCATTTATTATTGGCACCGCCTAGAAACAGAGCTTGTAAAACTCATCTTGGCATCGCTTTGATTGGTCCTTTGAAAGGTGATTAACAAACTTTTCGTTCAAAGGAAACAAAGAAAAAAGGCCCCTTGGCTGCTGCCAGAGCCCGGTGGAAGAGCTCCACCCTCTGGCACTCGGTAAAGGCACAGATGAAGGCTTTGCTGTAACCAGGAAAACTCCCAACTTCCAGAATTTCTCCTTAAAATGAGCACAGAGATGAGGAGGAGGCTCCACAGCTGCTGGGTCTTCTCCCTCTCACCTCTACAGAAACACCAACCATCCAATCAGCACAGTCACTAGTTCCTCTTTGTGCTCCAGGGATCTCTGGGTTCAGGCTCCAAAAGATCCGATGAGGAAACTCCCACAGGAACAGTTTCCTCCCTGGGTCAGGAAAAGGGGCCAAACTCTGAGCCTGGGATCCATCTTGGAGTTCTGTGTGACAGAACCACGGTCACTCCTCTGCCAAACTTCCTGCTCCTTCAAGCACCAGCCAAGACTGGAGGTTGCATTTGTCTTTTGGGACACAGGAAGGAAGGATGGAAGTGCCTTTTTTCTCCTCTATTTTACCCATCCTTGGAGATTTCTTCCTTTTCAGAGCATTTTCCCAGAAGATTTCTCTGATGAAGAGTGATTAAAACTGCACAAAAATCCTCTCTGCAATCGACATCTTGACTCCAGTCCCAATTACAGGACGTGTGGAATTGCAATCATCATCATCCAGCAGAGTTAAAATACACCCTGCCTCTCCAAAGCCGTTGTTACCACGTAACAATCAGGCTCTTGGAAGCTTAATTATGGTTTATTCAGCTTCAGAATTTCCTCCTCTAGACGCTTGGTAGATGCCAATCAGGGAAGATACTGTTCCCAGGAGACCTACTAGCCAGGGAGGGAAGCGTCCAGCCCAAAGAAATCCTGGAGGCAGCCAGTGGATGGCGTTGGAGAGATCTGCCAGGTCTGTGAGGATGCTCAAAACTTCAGCCTTCACTTGGGCTTTGACCCCCTTCGGGCTGGGAGGTGAAGCAGCACTGGTGGAAACAAGTGTGGTGTTACTGACAGCCCATCATCTCCTCCTCATTAGTGACAGTCACAAATGAAGACATGCATATTTGGGGTAAGGTTAGCCAAGGAGGGAGATCATACCCCTCGTGCTGCCTCAGCTTTCTTCTTAACTGGAACAAGACTCTCAGGGATCTGAAAAAGAACAGAATTGCTTTCCCTGTTGCATGGAAGTGGAGGTTTTCCCACGACCTTTTAACTACATCCCTGAGGAAGAGCAGCTTCCTGCACCCGGGAGGGGCCTTCATTTCTGCCTGGGGACAGGGAAGGTGGGTCATCCCCTGCCCGTGCCCCCCCAGAGGGAGCCCCCCCAGCCCTTACCGCAGGATTCCCAGGAGCAGGGAGAAGGCCCAGAGCCCCGTGCTCAGCGTCCACCACTTCTGAGAGCCCACACGGACGATCCCAGCATCAGCTGCCCAGGCCACGTGCTCGCAGGGGTAGTAGAGCTGGTTGGCCAGGTTGCTGAGCACCGACAGCCCCCTCACCAGCCCGTCCTCGTCCTGCGGGGAGCACGGGGGACGCTCACGGCACCGGCAGCACGGCCGGCCGGGCTGGCCGGGCTCCCCCTCCCCTCGCTCACCTCGGGGCCCAGCCCGTAGCCGCAGCTGGAGCTGAGCATGGCGCAATCATCGAAGAGGCGCCGGGCGGGGCGACAGG